ATGTTACTCTATAACGAGGGTAAAGAAAGTGCTGTATAACAGGAGCGTCTATGGCACAGAGACTTATTCTCGACTATAGTAAAGGTACTTCTATATAACACAAACGTCAGAGACCTATTGAAAGACAGTTCCAAGTCGAGGTGCGAGGCATCTCCTTGAGTTAAGCCAAATTATCACGAAATACAAATTCCTATTAAATAATTTCGCATGAATAAAGTTTGTACAATGTACAGTAAAGTTGGTTGTTAATTGGGAATCATAAACAACAAATATTTCTGGTTTTGAAATACACTTTGTTTGTTTTTTAACGTCAAATAAACATAACTGATGATAATCTTATCCAGCTCCGGGGGAGGAAGTTCAAGGGAAGGGAGAAAGGGGAGGAGGAGAGATAAGAGACAGAGACTGTAGGAGAAGTTTGAGAGAAGTGAAGAAGTGTTGGAAGTAGCGTTCAGCCAATAGTCGCTGAGTTGTCCCGAGTGCTGAGACAACACCACCGTCCTCATGTAAGAGGGGATGAGGTTAATGTCAACGCAACGCGTGCTGAGGAAGCCGTCAAGGAAACTGTCAATAAAACGGGACAGGCGTTGACGGGGGGCGTACCGTAAACACACTTCTCCAACGCTGACGGCGGCGTTGGTAGACAGCGACAACCAATTGATTGCTTACTCGTTAACATCCACTGCTAAGAATCAGTTGAAAGCGGACAACATCCATTGTGAAATAACTCGAACTATGAGACAGGATAACGACCAGTACTGGTATCTTGAGGATATCTTGAGATGATTTCGGGGCTTTGCGTCCCCGGGGCCCGGACCTCGACCAGGCCTCCACCCTTAGAAAGTAGCCCGTAGCAGCTGTCTAACTCCCAGGTACCTATTTACTGCTAGGTAACAGGGGCCTCTGGGTGAAAGAAACATTTTGCCTATTTGTCTCCGTCTACACCGGGGATCGAACCCGGAACCTCAGGACTACGAATCCGAAGTGCTGTCCACCCAGCTGTCAGGCGCAGGTAGTGTGAGATATCAGCATTGCTCATAATGTGAAGCACATACCAGGTTGAGAAATATGAAGCGTACATAACAATAATAAATTATTATTACTAATTTTCTTCGTCACCGATTAAAAACAAAAACACTAAACATTAACATAAAACAATGTGTGATAACATAAAACGTTCGTTTAAACATTTATACCAATATAAATGACCACGACTAATCCATAGCGCCAAAAATACGTTTCTTAAATATTTAAGACGTTAGCAAATGCAGGAAAACAGAGGTTGGTGTTATAGCCAGGACAACAAATGATATTACTACCGACAGATAACAACCAAGCAATCGGTATTATCTCTGCAAACATCTATTATTATTTTTTTGATTCGAAAAAGTGGGCCTTAAAAATACATACGAAACGAGACCATGTAAACACTTCAGCTTGCAGACATCATTGTTGAGGTGTTAACGCGTGTGATGCTGCTGCTGCTGCTGCTGCTCTCTCTCTCTCTCTCTCTCTCTCTCTCTCTCTCTCTCTCTCTCTCTCTCTCTCTCTCTCTCTCTCTCTCTCTCTCTCTCTCTCTCTCTCTCTCTCTCTCTCTCTCTCTCTCAGATGAAGCTAGAGACTAAAGGACGACCTCGACAAACTGGAGGAATGGTCTTGAAAATGGCTACTAAAGTTTAACTCAGGAAAGTGTAAAGTAATGAAATTTGTCGAAGGGAGCAGGATAAACACAAGGTACCATCTGGGAGGTGAAATCCTGCAAGAGTCAAATAGAGAGAAAGATCTGGGGGTTGATATCACACCGAATCTGTCCCCAGAGGCCCACATCAAAAGGATTTCATCAGCGGCATATGCTAAATTAGCTAACATAAGAACTGCCTTTAGAAACTTGTGTAAGGAATAATTTAGAACCTTGTATACTAATGTCAGACTCATCCTGGAGTATTCAGCTCCAGCCTGGAGTCCACACTTAGTTAAACACAAGACTAAGAGAAGATTCAAAGGTATGCCACCAGAATAGTCCCAGAACAGAGAGGTATGAGCTGCGAGGAAACGCTACGAGAGCTAAACCTCACGTCCCTGAAAGACAGAAGATTAAGGGAGATATGATCACCACCTACAAAATTCTCAGAGGAATTGACAGGGTAGAGAAAGGCAAACTATTTAGCATCGCTGGAACACGAACAAGGAGGCACAAGTGGAAATATTGCCCAAATGAGACACAGAGACATTAGATAGAACTTTTTCAGTGTCAGAGTAGTTACCAAATGGAACGCATTAGGCAGTGATGTGATGGAAGCTGACTCCATACACAGTTTCAAATGTAAATATGATAGAACCCAATAGGATCAAGAATCTGTACACCGGTTGAGAGGCGGGACCAAAGAGCCACAGCTCAACCCCCCCCCCCCCTCGCAAGCACAACAAGGTGATTACCACTCCCACCCCAGGCACCCACACAATTCCCCCAGAATGTGGTCCGTCCCTATTATGAGGCGCCCCAGTATGTCGCGTGGCTCTTGTGAGAGAAGCTTCCAATGGCTACTTACTCAAGGCAATTATGTTGATGGGGCGAGAGGATCTTAAAGCCAAGAATCAAGCCTAGCAGTGTTGTGGAGTAATATATATCCCCCTTTACTGACACCTTCACTACACACTCATATATATATATATATATATATATATATATATATATATATATATATATATATACATACATATATATATATATATATATATATATATATATATATATATATATATATAATCAGCAGATCCTTCTAAAATATTTTATATTTTTTTGTGAATTACAGATTCAGTTAACAGCAATTTTCTTTATATTTTCTGAAATATTGTTTCATAAATATGCAGTACAAAAATAAATTGACCACTAGAGAGATGGGGGGGGGAGGTTGTTTTGAATACATCTGTTTATGTAATTAAAAATAATTTGCTACCAAGTTTTCAAAACTTGATATTAATTCTTTTACTTACATATAGTACCTCAAAAGATTTTAAGAATGTTAAAATTTGTGATATTTTCAATAATCATTTTATTTCTGGTATCTATGGTATTTTGTATGGTTCAAACAAATTTAACAAATATAAAATAGCTAATTTAACTATAAAATAATAAAATAAATAATTTAAGAAATAATAAAATAAATTTGTTTAAATAACAAATTTAAAACATCAAATTAGTACACCCCCCTTCCCCAATTACACCGATTTTGAGTAGCAATAGAGGTTTTAATATCAACTTGACAAAAAATTATCTTCCTATTTAGCATACTTTCAAAATTAAAAATACTATTTTAGCTCTGTTAATAACAGCATATGCTCGAATATGCCCCAATTCCATGGTTGTTATGTCCAGTTTTAACAGGCAATTCCTATTTCATAATACTCAATTGATTGAAACCATTGATATTTGTAATGACAATTTTTTTCTGAATCAATGTTGCTGGCTTTTTCTAACCCCAAATTCAAATGGCTGCCCCAACTCAGGAATAGCTATGGCCTCTCCTCTGGTTCCTCCTCTAGCCAATGTTTTTGTAGTTCATGAAAATATTTGGATTTTTGGCTATCCTTTACATTTTAAACCCATATAAATAACATATTGAAAATACTTTTTTTGATTATATTCCCCATACAGTAATATTTAAATCATATCTCGACTCAAAAATATTCAAAATATAAAATTTACAGATGGGAAATTGATTTTAAATTACCATATGTAAATGTACTAGTTTTTAATGACAATACTGTTTTGCTACTGAGGTTAGTAGGAAACCAGTGTTGACTACCTTCGTGTTGATTTTTTCTTTAAAGGAGAATATTACAAAAACTTTAAACAAAAAAAATTCAGACGTGTTTTTCTGCTCATATTAGTTCTTTTTTATTTAGAGGCATCACCTTAAGACTTTTTTCCAGAATAATTATTATCCACTTTGTACGTATAGAGAATACCTAATTGTCTTGTTTTAAACGGTAGGCTCTCGTCACACGTTCCTTAACTCAGCGTCTCTAAAGAAATACTTTGTATATATCGCCTCTTTTATGATTATTTAGGATATCAAATAAGAAACTGAATATACACTACTGTTGCTTAAATTTAAGTATCCCCAAATTAATTTGAGAATATTAGTTTTAACACAGGCGAGAAATATGTCAAGTTTAAGGAATGTTTTCTCACGTCACGAGCTAATACAGTTAACTATCTCTTGAATGTTATGTCAACGATATTGAAAGTATAGTTGCAACTTCAACATTAGAATTTGTGAACGCAGAGGATTTTAATATATAAATCCGTTCCCGCTTCCCACATCATCCCCCCCTGCCATTAAGAGTAGGTTCTTCTGAAACTTGGAGTAATACCAAAGTGTATCTTACAATTACTTATTTTGTAATTTGTTAAGTAATAAGTATATCATTCTGACTTGTCTATAATTTCGATATTGGTGGATATATTTTTTTAATTTATGGGGCAGATGTGCACACGTGAAAAAATAATCTCTCAGTGTATACTAATGCACAAGGAAAGGGTGTGAGACGTTGGATTACAGGTATCGACAGGTGTGTACTCACCTAGTACTCACCTAGTTGTGTTTGCGGGGGTTGAGCTCTGGCTCTTTGGTCCCGCCTCTCAACCGTCAATCAACAGGTGTACAGATTCCTGAGCCTATTGGGCTCTATCATATCTACACTTGAAACTGTGAAACTGTGTGTGTGTGAGTGTGAGGGAGCGTGGTGGCCGGGTGGAGGCGTGCACAGGTATGAGTGTGTGTGTGTGTGTGAGTAAGGTTTTCAGGTGTGTAGAGGGAGCAGTGGTAGAGAGAAGGGGGATGGGGGTGTGGAGGTGAGGCCCCGCCCCATTTCCCCGCCCTCAGCCACCCATCTCCCCGCCCCCACGCCTTACTAAATCCCGCCCACCGCCCGCTCCCCACCCCAACACACATCATCTTTCATCACTGTGATAATCATACGTTGTTATTGTGCAGGGGTGGCTGGCCGGGTGTTGTGCCGCCCACAGCAGCAGCGGAGGGGGGCCGGTCGCCCCCCCCCCTCCATCTCCCCTTCCCCCCTCCCCAGCAAGACGCCCCCCCACCCCCAGCAAGAGAAGGAACCACCCCCCTCCAAGCGCTGATCTATCTGCTCCCTCTACCCATCCTCGCTCCACAGTCACAGGATAGTGCGCCACAGACGCATGTCTTGTAGAACTAGTGCACCACAGACTCATGTCTGGTAGAACTAGTGCACCACAGACGCATGTCTGGTAGAACTAGTGCACCACAGACGCATGTCTGGTAGAACTAGTGCGCCACAGACGCATGTCTGGTAGAACTAGTGCACCACAGACGCATGTCTGGTAGAACTAGTGCGCCACAGACGCATGTCTGGTAGAACTAGTGCGCCACAGACGCATGTCTGGTAGAACTAGTGCGCCACAGACGCATGTCTGGTAGAACTAGTGCACCACAGACGCATGTCTGGTAGAACTAGTGCGCCACAGACTAATGTCTGGTAGAACTAGTGCGCCACAGACGCATGTCTGGTAGAACTAATGCGCCACAGACTAATGTCTGGTAGAACTAGTGCGCCACAGACTCATGTCTGGTAGAACTAATGCGCCACAGACACTTGTCTTGTAGAACTAATGCGCCACTGACTAATGTCTGGTAGAACTAGTGCGCCACAGACTCATGTCTGGTAGAACTAGTGCGCCACAGACACTTGTCTTGTAGAACTAATGCGCCACAGACTCATGTCTGGTAGAACTAGTGCGCCACAGACTCATGTCTGGTAGAACTAGTGCGCCACAGACACTTGTCTGGTAGAACTAATGCGCCACAGACTCATGTCTGGTAGAACTAGTGCGCCACAGACTCATGTCTGGTAGAACTAGTGCTCCACAGACTCATGTCTGGTAGAACTAGTGCGCCACAGACTCATGTCTCGAAGAAAGCAGGCAAAGCCCACACGCCTCCCTGAAGAAGAGGCGGAGCTGGGGGAGAGTGAGGAAGAGTTGGGGGAGAGTGAGGAAGAGTTGGGGGAGAGTGAGGAGGAGGAGGGGGAAGATGAGGCTGTCGATGGTATCTGCGGCCAAGCCGTCAACCTCCTACAGCGGCACCTGTCAGGTAGGTGTCGTACAGAGGTGTGCATCCTGCCTGGTCTCATCTCCCCCACCTCTCACACTATATGACAGGTGTATGCTAATCACCCCACACCTGCCCTCCTCCCCCTCCCCCCCCCTCTTCCCTCCCTCCCCTCTCACCTTCCCCTACCTTTTCTTCACAACAACTACCCAACTCCTATCCTCCCCCTTCTTAATGGATTATCACATTCTTCTTTCCTCATTTACAAATATCTTGTTACTGTTTTTATTAACCACTTTATATATATATATATATATATATATATATATATATATATATATATATATATATATATATATATATATATATATATATATATATATCGTACCTTATAGCCAAAACCGCATGATATACTTAACCGAGTGATTTTCGTTATTTTCAATTTAGTTTAATTCCAAATTGGTTTATTTCAATTAATATTTCTATATTACATTAAGAACATGAATTACTGATAGTTATGTTACGTTAGGTTAGGTTAGGTAAGATTATGTTAAGTTAGGTTAGGTTAGGTTAGGTTGGGTTTGATCGAATTTCAATGTTATTTTTAACTCAAATTATAGACAAAATGTCAAATCATAAATAATGTAATGGAAAAATTAATCAGTCCACAAGAAAAATATTATGAAAAATATAATTCAGGAAATTTGGTTTGTTAGGCAACTTAGCCTATTAGATACAATATATATATATATATATATATATATATATATATATATATATATATATATATATATATATATATTGTATCAGAATTTTGAACAGAAAATTTATAAGACTACAGAAATGTTGAATTTTGTAGCTGTGTGTAGGCGACAATGAAATGCCAACAAATTACTATTAATATCTATATTGACAAAATTAATTACGATTTTGCCTAATCTGAGGAATTCAAGTAAGTCTTATTAGAGTGAGGATAATGGTGGTATTCACTGTCACGCAGGACAGAGGGTCATACACAAGACAGTAGGTCTAAACTGTAGGCTGAAGAACTCATATATAATGGTTTCAATCAATGTTTCAATGTACGAATATGTAAATACAACTTTCTACTGTGCACTGCCACACAAGGGCAGGGATGGGTTCATAAGTGATGCAGCTTAGAAGTAATATAAATAAAAATTGTTCTTCGTTCTTTAAAATGGACAAGGAAATTTAGGATAAATTGTTAGGATGTCGTCCAGTACACCTGAGTCAATGAAATAGTTACACAGTTGGTGGTATAATATGCCAGGAGGTCTAAAAAAAATTAGGGTTTCACATTCAACAATATAGTGTTCTAGTGAATGCATTAAAGGTTTATCAAAGAGTTTACAATCTGAGTATTCTGGTAGTGGCTCAGCCTCACTAACCTGCCAGATGTGTCTATAGCCAAGGCGAATCCGCGCAATGACTACATCACATTGCCTGGTCCGATTACTGTGCTGACCATACAAATACCTATTATTACAAAAGTTGTCATAACTTTTAATACTGCAGCTTTCAGGTCTCTGGGCATTTCTTAGTTCTAATTCTGAAGCATTTTCTTTAATTTTTATGTTCCTAATAATTGCATTAGATAGTCCAAAGTCATAATCAATGTTTTCTTTCCTGCAAGCCTCATTGGCCAATTGATCTGGAAAGTCATGTTTTCCAACTCCAACATGGGATGGGATCTACACAAATTTTATACAATAGTTATTATTGGCAAAAATTACATTCCAGTTAATATTACAAGCTACTTCAGACATAAATTGTAATGGGTTATTTAAGGACTGCAGAGCACTTTTAGAGTCACAAAATATCACTCCACCACCAGCACCAGCTGAATATCAGCTTAAGGTATTCAGTGGCTAGATAAATACCCAATAGCTCTGTATCGTGCTTACCCAGTTGTTTAATCTCTGTGTACTAGACATGATCATTTCATTCCCTTTATATACTGCACGTGCACAACCTGTTCTACAAGTGCCTAATTGCACAGAACTATCAGTAAAGGCATAGGATTCAGTTGGTTTGAGAATCCCAACAGAGTGGTCTATTTGTCTCTCTCAGCCTCACGGTGTGAACGCTGTAGAGGGCTGTGTGAACACTGTAGAGGGTTGTGTGAATGCTGTAGAGGGCTGTGTGAATGCTGTATAGAGGGTGAGTGAACGCTGTAGAGGGCTGTGTGAATGCTGTAGAGGGCTGTGTGAACGCTGTAGAGGGCTGTGTGAACGCTGTAGAGGGCTGTGTGAACGCTGTAGAGGGCTGTGTGAATGCTGTAGAGGGGGCTTGAGTGAACGTTGTAGAGGTAGCCGAGTGAACGCTTTAGAGGTAGCCGAGTGAACGCTCTAGAGGTAGCCGAGTGAACGCGGTAGAGGTGGCCGAGTGAACGCGGTAGAGGAGGCCCAGTGAACGCGGTAGAGGGGACTGAGTGAACGTTACAAAGGTGGTTGAGTGAACGCTCTAGAGGGAGCGGAGCGCCCAATTTGTAACCAGCTCACTTATCAGCTTTGAAATTGCGTTCTCCGAAACCGGATCGCGTTTGTGTTCGTTTCCATCAAACGTTCTGTTTTCGCTGTAAAGGAAGAATCCGCAACAGAACTTTACACCGTTGAACTGAACGCTGTTACTTGCAGCTGTTGTAACAGTAACTTACTTGTTACTGTTACTTGTATAATCACTGAACTCTGTAAAGCTACGAAAGAACTCAAACAGGTAAATCATTGGACTGAGGGGGAAAGGGAGGCGGGGAGGGCACTTAAACAGACAAGGTGTTATACACAAGCCAATTCAGACAGACAACATTCACAGACATTCAAGCAAACGCGAATATACAGACAGACAGAACGGGGGGGGGGGGGGGGGGACAAAGGTGGTCATCTCATAGCTACCTTCTCACAGCCACCACCTCCCCCCCATCCCCCCACAGACACACCTGTCCCACTTACTATTAGCAGGCAGGTGTCAAAACTCTCATACCTGTAGCGAATATCAGACCTCTGGCCGACCCACACACTTGGTTTGGTATCGATACTTTCTCTATGACCTGTTTGTTTACAACCTTTCTTTCTTATCATTCCTTCTTGCTTATCATTCCTTCTTGTCACTCCTTCTTATCATTCCTTCTTATATATATATATATATATATATATATATATATATATATATATATATATATATATATACATAATATTATAGTGGTGTGTATATGTATATATATGTTAGGAATTTGCAAGGTAGAACTTCAGTTTTCTATTGAGTTATCTATAGTCTATGCTGGTATTAAAACTGGCATGTGTTTCAAACCATTCATTTAGAAGGCTTCTAAATTGACCATTCATTTAGAAGGCTTCTAAATTGACCATTCATTTAGAAGGCTTCTAAATTGACCATTCATTTAGAAGGCTTCTAAATTGACCATTCATTTAGAAGGCTTCTAAATTGTTGAACTGTTAGTGACTATTTGGTCGTGAGCTGCTGCCAAAATGGGTTAAATAATTGTGAGTATTTCGGGTGATAAGAACGACGGAATTGTTGTGTTTGTGTAAAGTGAAGATGTGTCTGGTGGTAGCCTCTTGTGTGGTAGTATGGTCTTGAGGCAAGTGTTGAGCTTATTGTGTGGTTATACACTGTGTATACTCGGTAGAAGACACAGATCAGCCACATCTCTCGGGGGTTGGAGAGTGCATGTGTGGCCTTGGGTCAAGAACATTAGCTTTGCTTCTCAGAAGAGGTTCGGCCGTCTTGAATTTTGAGTGAAACTTTAGATAAGACTGTGGACAGGAACCCTGAATTAGTGAAGAATCATTCGAATCGTCTTCATCTTCAGAAGGGTAATCCTTCTGAAGATGTATTATTAAATACTAAAGTACTTAAGGAAATTCCTATTTCAATTCTTCCTCCGTGGTCTAACGCTGTCACATTTTTCACGTGTTAACTTTCGTGATTTACACACACATATATATAATTTTATCTGTTGTTCATTAGCCTTAGAAAAAATATATATCTATTTTAAAACACACCCTTTTCGTGTTATATTTTTTGTGCAAACTACAATTGAGAAATTTCCATGAACAAATCTTACAGCGGTGATCGCTTTATAAATGCATGAATTGATTTCACACCCAAATTGCCTACTAACTTCCCCCTTCCCCCTCCTCCCCCCTCGAAATTTCGTAAGAGCTGGAACGATTTTTTTTTCGTGAATACGCTACAAAGAAAATTGGATTATATTTTTTTCTTTTCCTTTTAGGTATTTTGTTTCAGTGTCGTCCACTCTTGAGAGGACATTTTGTGTTTGTCGTTTTGGTAACTTTTCTTGTTTTATATTTTTTATTTTTTATATCATATTTATCTTTGTAGCAAAGCGAAGTAAAGCTGCATCTGTCATATAGTTACTATAGGAAGCATGTCCAGTTTTAACACTTATGTATCAGTTCTATAATGATTATATTGATCATAGTATTAATGATTCGAAGGATAATGGTTTAATTGTAATATTATTGATATTACGTCCAATAGTTACAATAATTATTTAAATAAGTGTTTTATTTATATAATAAAAGCTGAATAAGCAATTTATTCTTTATATATATATATATATATATATATATATATATATATATATATATATATATATATATATATATATATATATATATATATTCATAATCACAATGTTTTGTACATCCTCGCAGGATGCTCATTCCTTCTTAAACTAGCTGATTTTCAAAGGTGTTCTCCATCCCACAGTAACCCCGAGCTAAGTGGGCTATGTGACACCCATCGAAGCCCATGCTAAACTCCTCAACCTTCCTCTTGATGACTCACAGTGACAAGAAGCTACGCTTTCCGTCAGGCTTGGTGGCCTTAGTGTCCGCATAGCCATCCAGATTGCTTTGGCTGCGTCCTATCCTCCTCTACAGCTAATAATTGTGTAAAATATATCTTACCGTAATACCTTAGGATTGTCTCAGGATTTTAAATACCATACACACAAGGCTTGAGAGACTTAACAATGC